CAGATGAGTCAACTGGTAAGAAAATGAACCTATATACTAACAATCAGTTCTTTGGGACAGTCAACTCAACAGTTGCCAAAAACTATGGCTTAAAGGATTGCAGTTAGGCTACAGTTGAAACTGGTTTCACTGTGTGTGTTTTCTCAGACCTGAACTGAAACATTTCTGCAAACGTGCAGACAGACTGTGGCTTCCAACACCTAATAATATACTATGTTTTTATAGTCAATCTGATTTTATCTGTTTCTATAACCTCCAGGCAGTGTGGCCAAGCGCTTCCAGAGCATCAATGCTGAGAACACTGAGGAGAACAGGAGGCTGTACCGCCAGCTCCTCTTCACTGCTGACGACCGCATCAATCCCTGTATTGGTGGCGTTATCCTCTTCCACGAGACCATGTACCAGAAGACCGATGATGGCAAGCCTTTCCCTCAATACCTCAAAGAAAGAGGCATGGTGGTGGGTATCAAGGTCGACAAAGGTGTTGTCCCCCTGGCAGGAACCAATGGCGAGACAACCACCCAGGGTGAGCACAGAAAAGATCCAGACATCATCCGTATTACATAATTATCTTTTAATATCTTTATCTAACGTATTGTGTATGTTTGTCCTTCCTAACAGGTCTCGATGGGCTTTATGAGCGTTGCGCCCAGTACAAGAAGGATGGTGCTGACTTCGCCAAGTGGCGTTGTGTTCTGAAGATCACCCCCACCACGCCCTCAAGACTGGCTATCATAGAGAATGCCAATGTCCTGGCTCGCTATGCCAGCATCTGCCAGATGGTAAGACACAACAGACAGATAACCCAGTTTAACTGAATTTTACAAGATCTATTATTGGGTCTATTTAAAAAAAAAAACATTAAAATATTTTTGCTGTTTTTGCTTGTGCATTTGATATGATCATGCCACACGCATACTTCCTGCATGGGTAAAAACACACAATGAGGAAACCTCATAATGTGCCAACAAGCTCAAAAAACTTTTCTCCAAATTAATGCTATGTCATAGTATTATCAAGGCAGCATAACATTAAATTTTTAAAGTCTTCACTTTTGGATTTCAGGTCTTGTCTTCTTAATATGAGCTCCTATTTTACCCTGTCTTTGTGTCCTTGCCTTTCCTAGCACGGTATTGTCCCCATTGTTGAGCCTGAGATTCTTCCTGATGGTGACCATGACCTGAAGCGTTGTCAGTACATCACTGAGAAGGTCCTGGCTGCCGTCTACAAGGCCCTGTCCGACCACCACGTCTACCTGGAGGGTACCCTGCTCAAACCCAACATGGTTACCGCTGGACACTCTTGCTCACACAAGTACACCAACCAGGAGATTGCCATGGCAACTGTTACTGCCCTGCGCCGCACCGTTCCCCCTGCAGTTCCTGGTAAGAAAGTACATCACACGCTTGCTGATATGCACACTTTTACACTTTTTTAGACATAATCTTTTATGACTAATCTGCATTAGATCTGCAATCTGGGTTGCTAAACTCTACCTGCTTTGCAGGTATTACCTTCCTGTCTGGTGGTCAGAGTGAGGAGGAGGCCTCTGTCAACCTGAACGCCATGAACCTGTGCCCCCTGCACAAGCCCTGGGCACTCACCTTCTCATATGGCCGTGCACTGCAGGCCTCTGCCCTGAAAGCCTGGGGTGGGAAGAAGGAGAACGGAAAGGCATGCCAAGAAGAGTTTGTAAAGAGAGCTCTGGTATGTCTGAATATGAACTGTGTAACTAAAATATAAAGCTATATGAAAGAGTTGTATTATTATTATTAACATCAAACTCATGCTCTAGAGTCCTCTTGTGCATTAAATAATATCATATTTTCTATCTTACAGGCTAACAGCCAGGCCAGTGTGGGCAAATATGTTTCCTCTGGAGCCAGCGCTGCTGGTGGAGAGTCACTGTTTGTGGCTAATCATGCTTATTAAGCATAACCACCCTTTTTCCACCCCTACCACTCCATTATTACATCATCACGGAAAAGGACACGTCCCTTAAGGCACCACCTATGAAATTCACACTCTACTATTAAACGCTACAACAGAAACAGCAGCACTTTTACATCTCAGTAGGAAGCAAAAGAGAAAGAAAGAAAAAAGCTTTGAGTGGTTGCTGCAGCTAGAAGACTAAAACACGTTCTTCCTCCATTCCCTTAGCTTTTATTTTTAAACACCTTTTTTCAGGTGAAGATTCCCACACTGTTTTTACACAACTTGTACTATTTTCCTTGGTCTGCTTCCAGTAAGTTCAGTATATGATTTATACTGTTACCATGGAATAAAGTATTTACCGTAGCGTGATGCTTTCCTTCCTTTTTCTGGTTTTACTTTGTGTTTTACTTCTCACTGCTCAACATTTAAGTTCCCATTAAACTAACACTGTCAGTTGCCATAATAATTGTACTTCAAGCAGAACTAGGCTTACGCGGTTTACTGATCTAGCTTTATTTTTATTAGCAAATGAAGTTTGCTGATGGGACTGTAAGGTAGCAAATTACCAAACAGAAGTAAAATATGTCCTTGTTACTGTTATTCTAAAACCTCTGTTCTAACTGTTTCGGATCCCTAGAGGATTGATTCTTTGTTACAAGTTGAACTGTTTGCACATAAAAAGTAGAAACATTAAGAAAAACAGTCAACGCAGAAACCTTTCCCTTATAGTCAGGAAATTCAGTAGTACTTTGAAAAAGTACATAATAACCAACTTCAACTGCAGGAGATGGAATAAATCCTAAATAACAAATAAATAAAATAATACATTTTATACTGGGGCTTTGGAGGCCCAATTTAATCCTCAGCTGTCTTCTGACTGGCTGCCCCTCATATATAAAAGGCTTGAACAGGAGTTTGTCTTTGTAGGTTTTCACTAATCCAGGTCATGATAGTCCAAGGAGCTTTGATAGAAACCTACTGGACTCCTTTGGGTCCATGAAGAGGTTTCACCTCTCATCAAAGAATCTTTTTCAGTTCTGAAACCAAATGGTGGAGAGTCCCAGCTATTTAAACATTAATGGGGGTTGTCATAGAGCAGCTGCTCAAATAAGTTCTATCATTAATTCATGTTTGAATTTTAAACATGATCAAATTGTCTGTATTATCTGGCTATGTACTTTTGTATTAGAAATTCTTCAGTAATTTTAAACAACTGATCATCTGCAGAGCAATGGTTTATTTGAAGATTTTCAGTCAGGTTTCAGAGCTCGTCACAGTAAAGAAGCAGCTTTAGTGCAGGTTACAAACATCTTGGAGTTGTTGATCCCAAATGCTCCAGCACGAGTACTGACGGGGACTACAAAGAGACATCATCTTTCTCCTATACTGGCTTCCCTTCATTGGCTCCCTGTTAAATCCTGAATTGAATTTAAAATCCTGCTCCTCACATCTTATCTTCATGACCTTTAAAAGTAGAATGGGAGGCAGAGCCTTCAGACCCCCTCTCTGCTTTTAAGATTAGGCTTAAAACATTCCTTTTTGATAAAAGCACATACTTATGGTTGGATAAGGTGATCCTGAATCCTCCCTTAGTTATGCTGCAACAGGCTGCTGCGGGATTCCCATGAGTGTTTCTTCTTCAGTCACCTTTTTCAATCACTATGTTTTATACACCTCTCTAAATTTAATTATAAGTTATTATTAAACTCTGGCTCTCTTCCACAGCATGTCTTTGTCCTGTCCTCCTCTCATCTCCCTACCCGTCACCCCTCACTCAGCCTGGTTCTCCTGGAGGTTTATTCCTGATAAAGGAAGTTTTTTTATTCCCACTGTCGCCAAGGCGCTGGCTCATAGGGAGTCAGTATGATTGTTGGGGTTTACTATGTTTTCTTTGTAGTATTGCAGGGTCTTTACCTTACAACATAAAGTGCCACGAGGCAATTGTTGTTGTGATTTGGCACTATGAGTATCTGATGAGTATCTAATAATGTAACAGGACATACATCAAACATAACAGGAGATAAGCCACTTTAACGATCCTTGATACATCCAGGTTTATTTAAGAAGCCTGAGTTTAAAATATTGTTTTCTTGATCTAAAATTTCCATTTTCTCTGATTAGATTGGAGCATGGCGTAACAGGAAGAGCTACATGTCAAATTTAAAGGTGTCAGCCGTTCTCTTGGACAAAGAAAATGTCATTGGGTGCATCAGTTGCAGTTTCAGATCAAGCCTTTGACCATAAAGTACGGTTTCAAAGAGCATAACTGGTGACAGCTCACAAGCCCGAGACAGAAGTCATCGCGACCACATCCATCAGTGTATCAATGCAGAACCTCTCTTAAAAATTGCTTCCCCAAATGTTCCCACCCACAATTTCCCTGTCTCCTCAAATACTCAGATCACTAAAATAAAACTCATATTTCAGAGTTCTGGGAAGGTTTAAAATGACATGAGCAGCCTCTGAATTAAAAATCTATAACAGGAAGAAAAAAAGCCAAAACCAAAAATCTAGTAGATGTTGTACGTTACGTCCAAACATACACAACTGAGCATATTTATATGTTCATATATCTTCTGCATATCTCTTCCAGTCTTGTACATAATGTTCAGTAACACCAGCAAATCAGAATTAGAACCTTTAATTTTAGCTTGTTTCCATATCCAAGGCACTCTAGTTTGGCTGAAAACACAAATTGATTCATAAAGTAATTAACAAAAGAAAAAATATTGATGTAGTGAGTGTAGTGAAAGAAAAGAAAGGCTGATCCACCCGAGCTACAGTGCAGTTATGTTATAGTTGACTATAATGTTTTTTAAAATCAAAATACTTTAAAAAACAATTAGCAATTTATGTAAATATTTTTTGAGATTATATGATAGAAAAACACTTTGTTGCAATAAATATACATCGATTAGTGTGCCATTACATCTAACAAATTCATGCATCGTCATAAACTTTTTTCATTCAGTCAGAAATACATATGAGTGGGTGCTAGTTTATGCACTGTACCTTTAAAGACACCTTTAAAGACAAAAAGAGCAGAAGAGGAGATATTTTTAGTGTTAAACTAAAATGCAGTCTAGCAACATTTTCACTGAGAAGATAAAAAATCCAAGCTCAGGTGCAAACGTGGCTGAATTTCCAGAGTTAGTGCTGCCAGTGGAGTTGTTGCTGCGACACACAAAGCTGCTGTCTGTGTCGGTGCCACTAGAAGTAAAGCTCACAAAGCCCACATTGGCCCCTGCTACTTGATTTGTGATCCAAGTCTGGAATTCAGACACTCGAGCGTAGACCTCAGGGAAACCTGCCTGGGCGCAAGGTATTCCAAAACTGGTAATACCAGCCTGGATCCACTTGGAACCCTGTTTGCACTGCAAGGGTCCACCTGAGTCCCCCTGAAAAGAGTAGGATAAAACACAAACATTAAGAAGGGGACTGAAACAGCATATTCTCAAAACTAAAAAAGTTTATATTTACATTATAGGGCTGAAATTGCAAAAAATAAATAAATAAATAAACGGGTTTTTCTGTAAGGGAGAATACATATTACAACAATTTGCTTTTGTTTTAACCTGGCATGCTCCTTTGTTCTGTTGCCCCGCACAAATCATTTGCTGAGTGATGTTCGCATCTTTTGCTGGGATATAATTGCAGCTGCACTGTTTGTTTCCAATAACAGGAATCTGAACTTCTTGGAGGGGTGCATTAGCTGGCAAAGTCTCTGTGAAAGGCAAAACATGAAATGAGTCCACTCTCGTCCAGTCTTACGAATTCAAAAGTATTTTCAATGGATATGTGCAAACGATAACACGAATGATGATATGATTATTCAATATCTAAACCCCCACAAAAAACTGACATTCCCGTCAGCAACAAACAGTTTGTGCATCTGTCTAGCAGTTCAGGCACCAAAAAGTATTATGCGAATATGTGAACTGCGCACCTTGCAGGGTGAAAAACTTTAATAGCAACAACTTTTAAAGGAAGTAACAAAGAACGCGTTGTGTGTGACGTCTTCTTTTGCGCATGCGGGCCACTTTGAGGGCCATTTCAGGGGAAGTGGAAACACATGGAGAAACAGCTGACTGTAATAGACATAATGACACCACGGGGGAAGTCGAACAAAACACATTGAACATGAAAAATCCTGGCTTTTCAAAATAAAACAGAAAACATTGAGAGACATGACAAAACAAGCTTGACAATAAGAAACACACTAGGTCACAGACCCAGCCCCTGACAGTTGACATGCAAATACGAATTTAAGTGGCAAAGCGAGACTAGAAAAAACCTGATATGATGCTTCCACCTCCACCAGCTACACAGATTAAATAAAAATCTCACCATTCTCTCTGAGTTTGCCCCAGCCAGTGGCCCAGCAGGATGTGGAGTTGTAGAACTGACTGGAGCTACTTGCCAGGCAGATAGGTCTGATGTAGTCAGTGAAGTTGACAGGGCTGCTGAGCTTCATCAAGGCAATGTCGTTGTTCAAGTAAGAATTGTTGTAGTTAGGGTGGACAAAGACCTGCGACACACTCTGTTTCACCTCATGAGTGTTAGGCCCAGCCTGAGTCTCTCTCCCAAAGTAGAGCGTCCATGCACTCAGTGAGTTTCTGTATTAAATGAATAATAATGAAATCAGTCCATGGATTTAGAATATTTTCTCAAACCTGTCATGACCTGTTTTGTTGGCAATTGGTTTTTATTGTATTTAACCACTAGTGCAAACATACATCCATTATCTCATCCAATTCAGAGTCACATGAGCCTAATCCAGCTGTCATGGGGTAAAAGGCAGGGAACGCTGTGGGCAGGACAACCATTCACATGTACGGCCAAATTATAATGACCAATTAATCTAACTTCATGCATGTTTTTGAGCTGAGAGTAGACCCAAGTGCCACACAGACGGAGGCAGATGAGGCAGACTCCACACAGAAAGGCTTGAACCTGATTTGAACCCTTGACCTTCTCGGTGAATGGTGACAGCGGCAACACCGCAACTCCATGCTGCCCGATAGAAACGTGTGCGAATTTACAAAAAAAAAACAAAACAAGGTGTGACGACAGAAGCTTGTGCCCAATCAAAGTCAATCAAACCCAAGTGATGAACTAGATAAACAGTGTGTTTATGGGTCACCCTGACTTATACTAACTTCACAAACCACAGGGTCAGAAGCTAACTGTGAAAAAAACTTTCTACCTATGTAATCAAAACTTTTAACTATGCATATAAACCATCAATATTTCCCCAACTGAACTTGTACGTGTTGTGCAAACAAATAGAACTGCCACAGACCTTCCATAACCACTACTGAGTTAAATTATCTAACAAACACATTAATACAGAGTTATGACACAGAAAAGTAGCTTATATGGGTGGTAATTTTGTGCAAAAAGTACTTTCTTTGCATGTATACACTGGTACATAGGGCCCAACGTAGTTTTTTGTGGATAGTAAGAATTGATATGAGTAAACATGTTTTCCTTGTTCCTTGTTAAATATAGTGGTTCTATTGTGTTTCTATTTATTTCTTCGGCCTCCTGTATCCTCCAGTTTCCCACATCAGGTTTATTGTTAATCTACAGATCTCAGTGTTTTTGTCTTTTGTTTTTCTGTTTAATTCTCATTTTTCTCCTTCACTAGTTTCACAGCTGTGTATAGAGCACAGGTGTTGAACTCCAGGCCTCGAGTGCCAGTGTTCAATTTTGGCCCAAATTGAAAGATCCAAACACAACACAACATGATCTTTGCATGATCCCTTTCAAATTTGGTTTTCTTGCAACTGTATAATTAAAACCAGCCCACACAGGGACAGTAACTTGTTATTTAAATTATTTACTGTCTATACTTGGCCACGTCTTGGTTTGAACATGAGACTTATATTTATAGAAGTCTATGTATGAGATCTATGTAGAGTGCATTGAGCTATCTTTAGACTGTAGATGTATCATGCAAGTTTAAAATGAAGAAACGCTTCATTTATGAGACAGTGTGTTATCAAAGTGTGTTACAACAAAGCAAAGTTAAAAAGTAAAAGGTTAAAAAGTAATGCATCCCACTTATTACAGCGTCATTACAGCTGTGCAAAACATACTGTGGTCACATTCTGTAATACATTAATGTAGCACATTACTGCACTGAACTGACTAATCGGGTTACAGTTATAATTATGTGTTTAGTTGTGTTACCCAAGTTGCTCAGTTATCTTCATAATGTAGCCTAAGGTATATATTGGTTATTATGTGAAAATGTATATCAGGTCTTGTTATGCAGCGATGCAGAAGGAATGTAACAAGTAGTGTGACAATTTTTTTTTCAAGGGAGTAGTTAAGTAGTGTAATGCATTAGCTTTTTTTAAAAAGTAATGAGTAATGTCTAATAGATTACTTTTTTGAGTAACAACCACAATACTGGCTGTAAGAAACTGTCATAGACATGGTAGTAAATCTGTAAATTTCAGTTCTCCAAATAAATAAATTGGCTCTATTGTATAATCATTTCTATCACATGGAAGCAGATACCATTCACGACTCACTTCCCCACTGTGGCATAACTTTTCAGCATATCCTTCTGCTTCCCTGCTTCTCTCTGACTTTCAAGTAAAGCCAAAAATGCTTTTACATAAGTAAGAATAAGCAATAAAACATAAAATTAAAAGCCCTTATCTTGCAGTATGCTCATGTATCACCAAGACTGGAAAGACTTGAAGCATATAAATAAGGAATTAGGAGACCTTTATTTGGGTCATTACAAACAGTGTATTGCGTGAACCTGTTTGAGTCAAAATTAATTCCTGGTGACTGATCTGACTGCTAATTAAGCAGATATGTTGCTAATTAGGCAGTAAAATGAGCCACCACCACTAAGTTTCAGTTAGGTGTTGACCTGGATATTTGCCTTCTGGCAGAAAGACTAGGAAATCCTTCGAGAGAGCAAAAAGACCAGTGTAGTGCAGGTTTTGCTGGATGAATGGGCCAGACACAAGACGTTCACCCAGAAGACAAAAGTCAAAACTGATTTCCCACTTGGGTTCATGTTAAGGGAAAGTAGGGCACTTTTATAAATGTAATGTAGAGGCTTTGTTGGATCAAATTACGCAAATTGCACAGAAATGCAAAAAAAAATAAGTTTAAAAAGTCTAAAGAAAAAATTTAACTTATTTTACACATGACACAATCTTGTGTGAGTGAGTGAAAGCCTTGCATTTGACCTACTTATGTACCAAGACTCACTTCCTTTACCACATGACTTTTGTATGTGCATTGTATCAAACACTGTGACAGAACTTACAGCGTGAAGGAACTGAAATAGATCGTGTGAGTTCCTGCCTCATAATACCCAGCAGTATTTACATAACAGCAAAGTCCATCCAGGAAAAAGAGCGTTTTTTACAGGACTCTGCGCAGTCCTGTAAAACTTAGCACATCCCACTGACTGGATAGGAATTACAAGGATCAGTAGCAATAGGTGCTTATCTGATCATCAGGAGTTCTGATGTTCTGGCAATTTGCTGGTCTGGAGCATTCAGGTGTGCATTCACACGATGGCACAATCTATCCAGGATTGGATGTCCCAGCAAATGTTCACTTTAAAAAAGGGGTTCGATCTCAGGGTATAGAGGCCCGGGTAGCGTGCTAAATGTTAGAGCTCATCACGGTACAATTAAAAAAAGACTGAAGAAAGAAGAAAGAGCTGCCAGGAGAAAGCGTCTTCTCTCTAAGAAAGAAACAAAACAAAGCATGGAAACATTGTTCATGTTTGCAAAGTTTCATTTGAACAAACCACAAAACCTTTGCAAAGTTTCCTTTGAATCGATAAGATAAAAATGGAGAAAATGTGTCCATAATGTACACTGCCATGTATGGTAAAAAACAAACGCAGCATGTCAGCACACACACTTCTAACCACCAGTCGATCATGTGGTGTAGGCGTGACGATTTTAACACCCACAGGACCACAGCACCTTGCAGTCGGCCATAAAGTATTCTGTACATATACATGCTTCAACAAGCTACTGAACTGGATTAATTAGGTCAATTCACCCTCACAGCATCAGGTTTAACTTAGCATGTTATTTTCACTAAAGTCAGGGTGACTAGTCTGAATGTGTGACCTTTAAATGTACTGTGTATGACACGACAGGAAGACATGCTAAGAGGATATTTCTTCATCCGTTGGCAGACGCCTGTCATGGTACAAAATTGTTATCACACAGGTTGACTATTGTGCAACAAGCAAAAGTTCAAGTTACGAGGAAAACATCTTAAGCGTGAAATTCTTGTTTATCAATCAGATGTCAAAGCAAAGCAGTGAAACATCACCAGGTTTGAGGATTAGATGTAAAGGAAAGAGCCACTTCTTGACAAAATTTTTTACTGATAACATCTATAAAAGGTACCGCCAGCTAACACTGCTATCAGTGTTGACACCTTATCATTCTGTCTCAGGAACAAGCCTGTAGTCACACTTAGACACACTTCCTTCTGCACATTTATGGTTTGTGGCAGCAAGTTTGTAGAAAGAAAGTAGATCCTATGTAAAGCACAAATTGGGGGTTTTTTCGCATCAGTACATTACTATTGTTTGCTTGCCTGTTCAACAGTTTAAGCACCAGAAGACGAGTACCACTTAGCAACATTGTATTCAAGATAACATACAGGAAATAACTCATTTCAACATTTAGAGGTACAAATAGCACTGAAGGCCAGACGTAAATATGTTAATTTGATTTTGTACAGCCGTTCTTTTAATAGTTTATTAACATAAATATTTGTTCTGATGAGCTGGAATCACCATTATTCACTGAAGAAACACCTTCTGCGCAATAGTGAACTGGTTGAACTTGTATGTTAGTTATGCTCGTTATCTGTAACCAACAAGTATTGATTTGTATCAGCTAACTTTATTAAAACTGCTCAGTGAACACGTCTATCAGGATATTTTACTCAACTTTTAATTCACATGCTTCACTTGTTTTTTGAGTCTCTCACTGATGTTTGTTTTCTTTGAGGTCTGCTGGGCAACATAAATAATCTGACGGCTTTTTTTTTGGTCTCTAAAATACTGAATTTGAACACAATGTTCCCACATAGGCTTCCGGTAAAAACGTGCAATACAGAATGAAACAAAGAGTATATCTTACGTTATAATGCAGTGAGCTGCTGTGAGCACCCACTGGTCACTGATGAGGGTGCCTCCACAGATGTGAGATGATTGATAGTGTACGCTCACCTGCCAGGGCCATGACCCAGCTGGGGCATTCTGACCACCCACTATTCTTGTATTGAGAGGTGCCACCCCACAATCTGACAGAGCAAAGACAGCTGGGTGTCAGGTGATATGCAATAAAATTTCTCATGCTTGATTTTAGTCACACTGGAATATGAACATTCAGAGTATTTACACAGTTGTATGGTATATATGAAATGTGATGTGCTCACCCTGAGCCTTTGAGCCTGTAAGAATAAGAGAAGAAGTTACTAGAAATTATAACCTTTGTGAATGTTGCCATAAGTGTGTAACAACAGCCACATGGGGACACTAGAGTTACAGCTTTTTTCCCTTACTTTACCTTTTTTTCCTTAACTTTTCCGTAACTGTAAATACAGCTAAGTGGATCACATTTTACTCTCATTATTTCAAGTCAACAAATTTGACTTGATGCAGGCCGCACTGTATTTCTGTCGAATACATGAAAAACTTTCTGCATTGTGATGTTACATTGTGGTTTGTTCTGACACAGTGAAGACTTGTTGTTACTAAGTTACTAAGCAAAAGGTTAACAAAAATAGTTTAAGCATCGCTGATAACCAACAGTACGTCTGTTTAGTGAAGCAGTATTGCTGTAATTCCTGTTTTCATAAAGTTCATACTGACAGCAGAGGGTTTGTTTTGCTTTACTTTCTCTTACATTTTTTACACAATACACTTCAATACAAAACCATCATTACCCGGATTCTCAAATATTGTACAAAATAGCTCTAACAAAACCAAAAAAGCTGTTAAAGATTAGGGCTCACCTTGCAGAGTGATGAGCGCACACACCAAGAGGATCCAGGCTGCCATCCTGTTCACTCACAGTAAAGTTGTATTTACAATAAGCAGAGGTGTCGTTGTGATAGTTTTCTTTCACTGCCTATTCTAACCGGTTTGTCAACATTCCAGCATAACTTAAGTGTCACGATTCTGGGTTTTGTACCCTGCGTTTTATATTTGGGACTGTTTTCTGTTTGATAGTTTCCATTTGACTTTGTTATAGTTTTCAGTTTAAACTTTACCTTTGCTTTGCTTGGGTTTTTATTCTGATTTTGCATTCATCATATTCTTTGCTATTCTTTTTCCAGCCCTCCTACGATCCCGATGCCAAGTCTGTGTTTCTGTGTTTCTTCCATGTTTTGTCTTTGTGTTTACTTTGGCCTGTCAGGTTCACGTGTGTTAGCCTCAGTCTCAGTGTTGCCTGTTATAGTTTGATAGTCTCTTCTCCTGTGTGGGTTGTTTTTCAGTTTTGCTTCTTTCTTGCTCATTAATTGGTTCTGTTCACCTGTGCCTTCTTTTCCCCAGCTGTGTCTCTTAATCATGTCTATTTAAGTCCTCAGTTTCCCTCTGTTCTTTGTCACACCATTGTCATTCCCACCTTGTATGTGTGCCCTGTCTGCTCAGTAATCAGTAAGTTCTAATCACATGACAGAATGACGTGACCATAACATGATAATATAATGCTGAAATGGCTTCCCAGCCCACATGCTTTCACTTGGTTTCAGTCGCTTTTGCCATGATTAATAATTGATACTGTTTGAAATGTTAAGGACATTTTAGAAGGCATCCTCTATTTTTAAGCTGGCTATTTGATCTGAGTGCTTCATATCAGGTTGAGTTTTGTGTTCCACAGTTGTGTCGGTTTGAATCTGTTCTCCATGTTTTTGAGCCAGCTTTCCCAGAAACTGTTTGTGCTGTCCCGCCTTCATCTATAGAAACTTTTTGTAATGTTTGACCAGTCGTCAACAAGACTGTTCATGCCTCCCAACCTGTGGCTGTGAAGACTGTTCGTCTTCCTGTGATCATCCCCGAGCATACCTGTCCACCTGTTCCTGTTCCCAGAGCGACTAAGGTCCAGCCATTTCCTGCACCCATACCAGTTCCTCAGGTGGGAACAGCTGATGTCCAGCCGTCACTTGGTTCGTCTGCCCTAACCTGGGCAGGTTTATATTATTGCTCAGGATGTCGGATGTTACCTATGTTAATAAAAACAAAATGTATACAGTTTTTTATGTAAGGCAAGATGGTGAACAAACAATCCAGTTGGACTTCCACTAGGCTACTTAATAATGTAATGGTGCATGGTGTTGATGTGGGTATGGAATAAGACTGGGCTGACTATTAAAACCACATCACTTTAAAAAATGAATGTATAAAGCCTGTCATGAAAGTGAAGCAGAGTGATTCCCATGTTGTGGGTGGTTACTCACCATCCTATGTACTCATATTTTATCTTCATGCTGCACAGGGTACATGTCACAAGATGGGCACAACAGACTTCAGTCTTGCTAGTAGCGGTGAACTTGATTAGGTGATGTGCAAAAAGAACTAGAGTCACATACAGTATTTTCTTGCTGAGGACTTCTCTGCACCCACACAACCACAAATATAAAATGTAATTACCTTATGAGCTTTATCCACAAAACAAATGTACAACTTTCAATCAAGAAATTGTTACATCTAAGTTCTTGTGGGTTACTTAAACACAGCAGTCATGTCTGCATAAGCCTGAGTGAGAGCAGGAAAACAAAGACTATAATTTGCAGGGCAAATAAATGGAAGACATCAACAAGGGGTCGGTGTCTGTAGTTAAGACTTTCTGTACACACCACTGAGGTTAACTGGTTATAGTTTTCATATGTCCACAAGTCCACAGTGGCCTGTTTTGGTCTAGGTAATGTAAATTTTGTCAACCTATCCACAAACCTATCTGAAACCCTACGCCTTAGCTTACGCCATAATCTGTTGTACTGTTTGCTAGAAATGTAACCACACATTCACAGCAAAATCTCCAGTGTTAAATTAACACTAGAGAGTGTCTATATGGTTCCATACCTCTGGGTGTTAAATACAACACTGTTGAGTGTTAAATTAACACCTTTGACAGTGTTATATGTTTAAAAGTAACCTAGTCAGTTTTGAAGATTAACAAAGACTAACACTGAGCAGTGCTGATTTTCTAACACTGGAAAATAACTCAAAATGTTAGAAATATTCCAGTGTTAGAAAATCAGCACTGCTCAGTGTTAGTCTTTGTTAATCTTCAAAACTGACTAGGTTACTTTTAAACATATAACACTGTCAAAAGTGTTAATTTAACACTGGAGATTTTGCTGTGACAGCATGTAATGACTATTATTGGCACGTTCAGTACCGTCATTTCCTCCTATGCATTCCTCCTTCAAATTGACAGGAAGAGAATAGATCTAATGGAAAAAAACACTTGCTGTGTGCATTCGGAAGCAGTGCTCTAATTTTGTCCTGGGTTAAAAATGCAGCACACCTGTTTCTTTATACTGCTGCACTTTCACCCTGTGACCTCCCACAATGGAAGTTGCAACACCAGTTTCAGGCCTAAAACACTCAGTAGTCTTTCCTAAACGCCACCACCAATGCATTTCTAAACACCTTTCTGAATAACTGAATAACTTTATTAATCTAGGATATTATTAAGCTACAACAAACTGACAGGCAAATATTGCCTTTTTAAGTCCAGATCATGCCAGTTATTACCACCATTTTAAGAATAATCCTGCACAGAAGCTCAGAGATGTACAAATACACAGAGTGAGATGTTGTATATGTTTAGGAGCTTGAGTTTGTGGAAAGAAATTTGCAAAACAACAAGTCAACACTTAACAAAGTCTTGGCTCCTGGTTTTAACTTCTTATGCTCCCTATTAGCACGTTTTCTCCACTATTGACTAAATGGCGACACCTATCGTTTAGGACAATACTGCAGCGGCTTCTTACACCTTGGATGACAGCATCTGTGTGACGACAGCGAGGCTCTGAGCGAAGCGACCACTGCAGAGGGTATATTGGAAGCTTCGGGCTGTTTTCTTGAAACAGAAGAAATGGTTGCTGAGATACCCAGAAACAAACAAATCACTGAGTATGTCTTGATAATGATTCTTAATTATAGAAGTTCTGACAAGCTGGGAATGTGTGTTGTTTTAATAATCACACACAAACCATAAAGGCCTTTATAAAGCTGACATCTTTTTTTATTTCTACCTTGTATTCAAATCATAAACTTATTTTCCTCATACTTCAGCTTCAAAGGTTTTTGCTGACGTCATGGTCACATATTGAATAAGAGCATCAATGAGACAAAAGCAAAATGTTCACAATAGTTAAATAACTTCATTCCTTCGATCAGCTGGCCCAGATTCACATGCCCCTCCTCTTCACTCAATCTTCCAGCCTGATGAAAGCAGCGAGCGTGTCAAGAAGAGAAAACACAAAGTTCAGTCACAAAGAGCTGGATGTGAGCACAGGTTCAAGACGAACAAGGATTTGGGACACATTAATCACACTTTCAGTTCTTGCTTTTGTTTCCTCCTCATGCAAAGTACAGCAGAAAAATACTGACTGACTACTTCAGCTCAGTGACGCACATCCCCTCTGGATCAGAAATTAACCCTTGACTGATGTGCGTGTTAAGACCAATTAAAGTGCAAAGTCAAACAATTTAAACTCCTAATCAAGTTAATGACTGTTAAGAGGGGGGATTGACTAGATAACACCTTTTGTTCTCTTCAGACATCAAGCGCTTGTTCTGGTTAAATATTATCAGAGGAGCTGACTGAAGAGACAGGGGGGCTTGTACAGAGGGGCATAAAAGAACCTCCTTTTCTCCGCAAAATGCATCGGCACCCGAACCCTCCCACAGACAGAAAAGAGTTGTAGTCTCGCCTGAGTGTTTGCCCACATAAACTCAGTGGGATTACTCACTCTGTTTGTTCATGGCAACACTGCACCAATGTAAAGTAGCCCCGAAACCTTGGCCTGAGGCCCGTCTGAATTTTAAGTGACCAGTTTCCCCATTTGTGCGTCCCTGCACATCTCCCTCCTTTTTTCCTCTCTCCCGTTTCCACCCTGTTGCTCTCCAGGCCTTGCTTGCTTCTGGAGGAACGTACACATATCAAGGGCCTCCTTTCACTCCCGAGGTCCAGGAACGATATTTCTTATTTCACCGACTTGCAGGACAATCCCGCCCACTGTCACCTCGTAGCTCTATATAAGACAGGGAAAAGGACCTGATGATAAGAAGTCGGTCTCAAGACAAGCCCAGCCATGCAGTGTAAAGTCCTCGCCTATGCTGTCCTCCTGACTCTGATAAAGCATGGTGAGTATTATGGATGTTTACAGAGGCGGCACTGATCTTACTCTGGCTGATGACAAGGTATGAGGTGGGCTACCTCAGGTGGGCTATAAGTGAATCTTTTAGTATGGATGGTGCATATTAAAGACCTTAAGTGTTAGACATTGTGAGCATCCACCTGACCTTTATGTTGTGTTGATTCCTGGATTAAGTTACAGTGTATGTAACAGTGCGATATGACAGTATGTGAAGTGAGACGTGAGTGATTTTTAATATTCATGTAGCTTTTGTTGTTTTCTTTATAGGCCAGTGTGGCCAGTGCTGCCTAATGCGGCTGTTGGGTTTATAATGTCTGGTGAAGTTCAGCCGCTTATTAAGTGGAAGTGGCACAGTATTAACAGCCCATCAGACACAATGCATCACAGCTTAACTTCTAGAAAATATGTAATATAAACCTGGTAATGCAATATAAGTCTCTCTCCACCATGTCGAACTTAAAGTGACATCAGTGAGTATAAACGAAAAATAACCTCTTCCTCTTTGGTGCATCAGCACGAAGTTTGCTATTAACTGATTCGAGGTGCTTTTCAAAAATAGCCTGTCAAAAGCGTCAACAGTACAGTTTGACCTCCATTCTTAGGTTGCTTGTTAATCTGCTTTGATCGACCCGTCATTTAGCGAGAAACGTAAATAAGCGCTTCATGCTGATGGAAATTTTTCCACCGCTTTGTGTTACACCTGCCAAGAAGTGTTTATTGTACTAGTTACTAATTAAGCTGATTGGATAGCCGGGCCTGTCTTAAAGGCCTTGTATTTGCACTGAATCAATAAAGTGTAGTCAGATTACTGATTTACTCTCAGGGATGAAAAGAGAGAATGTATTCACTGTTCATTTAATTTAAGTCAACAAACTGGACAAGAGTTATTTGTCCAGCCTTAGACAGCTATTTGCTTTTACGGTTTTACTTTGTTCTCGGTGCTTTCTAATGACATTTATTACATAATTAAGTCAAACACATTAGAAAGACAATTTTGTATCTTCCACTAAACAATATATGTACAAGGTGCATGTTTGCAGTCCTGGGTTATTTTCGTTTTTAAAAGAACTCAAATGGTTCTGTTTTGCATCAGCAAAAACAGGAAAATGCCATGAGGTCATGTAACTAGTTTGTCAGTCAGTTTCGCGGCAACCTTTCCAGTTGTAAGAGGAAGATTGTGATATTTCTTCTTTCTAAAGAAGAAGTTGTTTCACAAATGTTACACGACAAGAGTTAAACAAAAAAACAACCCAATAACTCAAGAAGTCATGGCACTTCTTACCAAGTGCACTGGAAACATTTACTGAATATGTAACAACTTTTGATCATAACATAGTATTGTCTGTAACATAGTTTTTTTTGGTGGTGGTGTGGGGGTTCCTGAAATGCAGACCCAACCATACAAAAAAGGGCACATTGCATCTTACAAGCCCTCATGTGTTGAAGTAAGGAGCCTTAATGATTCCCGTTTTGTTTTTTCCGTCCATCTCTCTCTACTTTCAGTGTCTTCGAGTGAAATTCAGGCCAGTCCAAATACAAACGCAACCCTCCCCTGCAACGTGACGCTCTTTGCTGAGGGGGACAACATAAACCAGTCTCTGATCGCAGTCAGCTGGATAAAAAATGGCTCTGAAATCGCCTCGTTTGGAAAAGCAGCAACCCAAATAAAGGAAGGCTTCAGCTGGGACAACGCTGACTTCGTCAATGGGGACTTCTCGCTGGTCGTCCTCAAAGCCAGTCTTGACCTGCAGGGGATGTATGAATGCACCATCAGCTACAACTTTACTATTCTGCACTACAGCAACGTTACATTTAGTATCATCGGTACGTCTTGTTTCCGTTCTCGTGGTTTTGATTCCTTTTTCTCACCTATGATCACATCTGAATCTAAAAATTAAGCTCAATTTAATTTCTTCTTCTCCCCCCATCCCCTTCAGCATCTCCCACTCTCTCAGTTCCTCATCAGTGGGTGGTGCTGGACACTAAGACCCAGCTTAAATGCCATGCAGACGGTTTCTACCCTCCTCCTGTCTCTTTTTCCTGGACCAGAGCGGGAGAAGTGATTCAACCTCCTTACCAGGTTGAAGTTGAACTGACCCCAGATGGGTACTACAGGGCTGTGGGGAACCTGACCTTCTATCCTTCCCACGAGGACCAGAATGTGACCTTTGGCTGCAAAGTCTCACACAGTGGAAACTATCAAGAGCTGGATTTTCAGCTCAGTATCACCCGTGAGTCACTGAGAGTCACTGTTTCCATATTAGTGGCCTTAATGCCTCATGGCCTGTCAGTATTTCTCACAGTACTTCTAATATTACATCCTCTATCACTCCATAACGTCACTTCTGTTCTTTAAAACCTTTAATCTGATGAAGCCTGTGACAAACCACAAGCTTTTTTTAAAAATACTTTCTTTACCCTTCTTCAGGTCCTTCCACTCTTAGGCTTTCTGTCCTGCCGACAACCTCCAAAAACTCTCCTCTTACTCTTTACTGTGACGTGGAGAGTTTCTACCCAGAGGAAGTGTCTGTGTCCTGGTATCAAAATGGCACAACCCTCCCTGACCTGCCTGTCACTGAGCAGAAACCAGATGGGAGTTACAGAACCAGACGCTACTATACTTTAAGCCCCGAGCAGAGGGCACAGCGTGGCAAGGTGGAGTGTGCCATGAACCAGCCTGGTTTAGTGAATCCCGTCAGTAGCTCAGCATACCTGGACAAGCTGGATCCTCAGAGTATGACCCAGTTTTGAATGTGCAATTCACAAGATCATAATGAAGTAACACAATGCTTTGACTAAAAATTGCTTGGATTATTTTCTTACTGCCGGTCCTTCTTTGAATCATCTGATAAATATCTCTCTCTGCTTCCTCTTAGATGAGGCCCCAGTGCTGAATAACTCGGCCAAAGCAGCCGTGGCTATGATGTGCATCTCTATAGTGCTGGTCTTCCTGCTTTGCTTTGGCTTTTCTTGGAGGAGAAGAGATGGTGAGTCAGAGCTCACCACGCAGTAACTGCAGCAGGAGATTTGTGATACTCGAGGGATTGAAGAAATAAGGCAAAGTCTATTTTTGTCCTTTGTGACTAAGGAGGAACTAGATTTGTACAAAACCTTTAGAGAGGAGGAAGTTGTAGTTTTTTTAGTCTCGGAAAATACACATACTCGAGAAAAGCCTTGAAAAAGTTCTGAATAATAAGAGCGTGACTTCACGTTTGTCATTTTCTCCCACTGTAGTTTCCAAGTAAGCTTCATCCTTACAGAAAAGCTAAAAGCATTACAACACAACAGCGCCCCCTTTTGAATTCTGATCTTTATCAAAAAAGGTCCACCGACACCAAAGAGTTGAATCTCTTCATCTGAATGCTGTGTTTTCACCACTCATCCAAATTTCTGGGATTTCCTTACGCGAATGATTGTGCTTGCATGAAGACATTTTAATCCACTGATGTTCACTATGGCATTATTCACCTTACTCCAAGTGTGGAGCTGTAGATAAGGAATTTAAAGGCATATTTGTATGTGAATATATCACCTTATCTCTCTCTCTCTCTCTCAGTGTCTCTTATTTTATAATTGCTTGTGACCCTGCTCAGAGAAACAGAAATCTCTCAGCGTGTCAGGGATCATCCTCCCTCCCCGAGTGATAGTAGGTCAAAAGGGGAGGGTGTCACTGAGCATTGAAGGCAGGAGGGTGGACCAGGTGCAGACCGCATGGTTTCTCAATGACACCCCTATTTTTGACAACTCCCTCGCAGGTAGGATGCGTCGCATTCTCCTTTTTTTTCTGTGCTCCAGCTGTTACACTTATTGTTTGAATGAAGGAATTAATTTACACATATTTAAAGCACAGCAGAATCAATCTTTAAAGCAATTTTTGGTGATGGAAGCTGGTTGTTTAGGGAACTGGGGAAATGAAATGCAAGTGTTGGTGCTACACATGTTGGATTTTTCTCGCAAACACCCTTTAACGTCCTCTGTTTCCCCCTCTTTAACACGTTGATCTAACAATTGACCACCTGACACTCACAGGGACTTCCAAAGCTAACTTTAACTGCCTCTGTAACCCCCTAATCACCATCCATCTACCCTATGGTCTAACTCTCACCTCCCCAGTGTCAGAGAAAGGTCCTCTGCTGCCCTCCAGAGGTGAAATGGGTTACTACAAGCTGCACACTCAGGGGCCGCTGCACTCGTCCAAAAACGGCACTCAACAGCTGATCTCCTCGCTCACCTTCATCCCCAAGATTTCAATCCACAAGGGTGCTGTGTTTAAGTGCCAGGTGTCCTACATAGGCAAGGACAAGATCGTGGAGGAGAGGGTGTCAGAGAAGTTCACTGTTCTGTGTAAGAACATGTTTTTTCTATTATTCAGTTTATTTTTGTAAGTCCTGCAGCTGAATCACTTGTATGTTTTGTTGCCCAGCTCCTCCTGAGGTGTCAGAAATACAGCTGGCAGAAACACAAAGAGACTCGGGTAATTCAAGAAGACTATCCTTTTGTATTGCATATTTAAAGTTAACCTGTTTGCAGGAGGCTACCATTGATGACATTTCCATCTTCCAGATGTCATCAGCCTGACAGTCCAAGCATCCCATTTCCATCCAGACGTCATCACTTTCCGCTGGTTCTGCCAGGGCGGTGAGCTCAGCCCCGTGGCGTCCCAGGCATCGTCCTCCCCTCGGCCCAATTCGGAGGGATTCTTTTCAGCCTACAGCCAGTGTAAACTTCCCCGCGCTGAACTGGAGAAAGGAGCAACTAAAGTGTGGGTTAGCGTCCACCACATTGCCCTGAAGCAGCCCATCACCCGGGAGACCAGAGGTAAGGATGAGGGATGAGGAGGGAATGGGGGAAATGTTGAAAAATCAAAGATTATTTTTTTATTTTGATCCCAAACAGGATTCATCAGGAGGCCGTGCGTGTCTGAAATTGTCAGCTCCACCATTTCCCAAGATCAAACTCTAGGATGTGAAATCACAGATTTCTACCCTCCGAACATTTCAGTGACTTGGCTTAGATTCAGGGAGGGAGAGCAAGATGATGGAGAGGAGGAGGTGATAGAGGGAGGAGAGATATGGGGCCCCATACAGACTGAACCCAGACGCTACAGGGCGACAGCCACTCTGAAGAGAAGGGCAACAAATCAGGAGAAAATCGACAAAAGAGGAGGGATTATTTGTAGAGTGAGACACTGTTCCCTACAGGATCCTGTTGAGAAACACTGGAGAAATGCTGACATTGGTAGGACTGACTGACGCACTTTTACCTGCTTTTTAAACTGCACGATTAAAGTCTCAAGGATGTTCCAACGGTAACTATCTGTATCCCTTGTTCCTCAGTCGCTCCATCCATTCCTCCATCAATCTCAGTCTGCTGGAGCAGCGAAGGCATTGGTGTGTTCTCCCTCTTGTTGAAGGGAGGTCACCCAAAGGCCAAGTTACAGTGGTCAGCAGGAGGACCCACGCTCTTGCCACTGGTGTCCAATGAGACGGAGGAGATCGGAGATGATGGACAAAGAGAAATGAAAAGCGTGTGTGCCCTGGAGATGTCCACAAGCCAACCGAGTCAGACAAACGAACCGCTGAAGAGACAAACAAATGGATATGCAATAAGTACTGAGATACATAAATATCTACACGTAAAAGGAGATAGATAGATAGATAGATAGATAGATAGATAGATAGATAGATAGATAGATAGATAGATAGATAGATAGATAGATAGATAGATAGATAGATAGATAGATAGATAGATAGATAGATAGATAGATAGATAGATAGATAGATAGATAGATAGATAGATAGATAGATAGATAGATAGATAGATAGATAGATAGATAGATAGATAGGACAAATTCAGTTGTAACCTTTCTTAGAGTCAAAGATGGTATAAAATACAGATGGAACCCACTGGTTTCTGATGGTTTTGAGTTTAAAACTACACCCACACTGGCTAATGATCTGGGACTGACAGCTCATTAGACAATGAGCTTTTCATATCATAGATAATCCTCCATATTGTGACCAAAATATACGAAACAGACTCAATTTTATTCTTTTTGCCATGCAACTGTCGCCATCTGCTGGCCGTCGGATAGAATGCAGTTTACATACACCTGGAAAGCTGAAAGTCTGAATGCTTTCTACTGTCTATGGTCTGGTAGACTAAACGTGGAACGCTATCCCCTAGGATTATTTTTAAAGGAAAATAAACACTGAAGTAAATCTTTCTTTGGTGTGCATTAAAATGTCCACTTTCATTTTACAAGCGAGGGTGATCGTAAGAAAGCAAAAATATACAGCTCTGTATGTGTTTTTTGAACTTTCATCACTTTTCAGAAACAAAAGCGGCAGTCACAGACCCTGACATCGAAGGAATACAGTACATCGACGAAAACGTGGATGAGGAGAATAACACCATAGACAGGGATGAGGACTCGACGTCAGACGGCGAGAAGGACGGAGAGGACGACCCGAGCGCGCTGCACATCAATAAGGTCAACTTGAGCAGGGTTCTCAAAGAAAACGAGAGGGCACGTCTGAGAGTCTGCGTGGAGATCACGCACCCTGCTCTCAAGCTTCCTGTTTACCGGACATGGACAGGTGAACACTTAAGCCCTTCTCCTGTTGAAGTAACCTCAGTAAGGCCAGAGAATCACTTATCGAGTACTTGCTGTTATCTATCCGTACAGGAAGAGGCTAATTCGATCACATGGAGTAGGGGAGAGTTTTTCTCATGTTTTGCTCTTTTCCTCTTCCAGAGCCCAATGAGGAGAATTCATCCACTGCATGAAAGTCCTGCATCAGTCTATTTCTATTATGATGTATCTAATATTTATCCCCTCAGGAAATATGAACTATTACTGACACAGTTTATGATGTGATCATGCATTTATTTATATTCTTAGTCTATTCTTACTCTGACATCCTTTTATTTTTTCCTTCCTGCTTATTTTTACAAATATTAATATTTTTTTTACAAATAATGTTACAACAGTAATTGATTAGCTTTAATCAGCGTTTTGAAATAAAAGCTAAATATTCTAGTCTTTCAAGGCTCTCGTGATAATGAGTTATTAGAAAAGGTTACTGCAGCAAGCCTCATGCAAAGGAGATATCTGTTGTTGGTCAACCGACGTATCGGAAATTACTTCTCGTTTTAAAAGGCACTTCTGCTTTGACGCTGGGCTTTTCTTTTCTGTTTTTTTACTCTCCACTCTTGACCACAGCAGCACCGCCTCCGCAGTGCTGCGAGGAGGTGTTGTGCGGCTGAGCCCAATAAATATATAACTTCTTAGTTCTTTAGCTTGCAGCTTCTGCCTTTCAGTTCATAGAGCAGCTACTTCTGCTGCAAATATGTTAACAGCCTCCCCGTAGATACTGCAGCGCACCGTTTCAGTTCTTTGATTGTAAAAATAACGGTTATCTTACTTCCACCTCTTCCATGTTGTAGAAATTGCATATTATTTCCTACATATAAAAACATAAACAGCTGCTTAACTACCATTAGAAATCGTTCTATATAAAAAATAACAGAGCCCTAAAATTTGCCCCAGAGTTACAAACCAAATGAAAAGTGAGAATAATTGTGACTTTGTGAGCATTTGATTCGATGGTGACAGTACGAAGGGCTAAAAACATTTTCACTAAGAGATATCTGCTTAATAATGGAACTTAGAGGTGAGTCACGTCCAATTGGTCAATGACGTCACTGGAAATAAGGTATTTTTAAGAAGCTAAAATCAGATGAAACCAAATTTGGGACATGCTCTTTTCTAATGCCAATGTGACTCATTCGTGCTCAGTTGACCTGACTCTACAGTGTGTCGTGAGCGGGGGGAGGGGGTTGGTGGTTTGGAACAGGCCACCTTCACGCCCCCAGATGTTTTTTTGTTGGGGGTTTTTTTGTTTGTTTGTTTTTTAAGACTTGCGGCGATCAGCTGACTCATATCGCATCAGCTGGAGCTATTTCTGAGACTTTGCACAGCTCTCTATGTACCCATAAAAGGCATTGTATTATTATCCTTCATATGCAGCACTCAGCAACAACTGGCTGGTGAAGTCACCCATTTATGATGCACAAAAAGAAGATTCATAAAATCAAGAAGCTATCTTCAGAAATATTTTATTGCTCGTGCATATGCCTTATGATTTATTTTTGTAACTTGTGAAAATAATGACTCTGTCTTGGTTTATGGGTCTCTTTGAATGGTGTCTAATTCAGTCAAAAAGTATCCTCTGTGTTCCATTTCATTAATGTATTCATGCAAACAATAAACATGTGCTTATATATGTGGCGGTCTCAGTCATTTAATCATGAATGCGTGTTCTCAGGTGGATCCTGGCAGCGCCGTTTCAGAGCAGCGCTTCGGTATCTGTCACAGAGTTTTACGAACTTTTTTTTTCCTGTGGCTATGCTCATTATTCACATCCGCAAAGTCTGCAACGCGTCTTCTTATGCTAACGTGTGAATGTGTGTGTTAATCTGTCTCTTCCTCATTATCATACCCCGGACATATGTCAGTTCTAGGGGGAGGAAGTGAACGGCCACTAACAGCTGATGTGTTTCCATCCTGGACGCGCTTGGCTGCAACTTTCTGTTGACTTTCTGCCTGGTTGCAAAGACCGCTTAGGGGGGGGGGAAACTAAAGTGACACAGTGCTTTGGTTTGTCCATGATTTTTTTTTTAATAACGAGAACGTCACGTCAGATGGTCAGAGAGTGACCAAGGAGGAAGCGTAAGGATGGACCCTGAAAGTCCCGTGTCCCGCATGGAGAGAACTTTGTGGACAGTCTGGGTGAGAAGCCGTCATCATTTCAATCCAAACCTGTAACGAAACGAAAGATTTGTGTTTTAAACTTTTAAGTCCGTCAAACGTGGATGTAAATAGTCTCTCTTCCTGTGTGTCAGTGGGTCTCTCTCTCTCCACGCATATCCGCCTACGCAATGTCTCTGCTTACCCCCTCCCTTTCTCGGGGAGAGGGAGAGAGAGAGGGGATGTCTGTGAATCACTGGCATGTTCACGTCCAAGACAAAGAAGTCTTCTCCATGCTTATTTGAACCTGGACAGGTTTCTGAGAACTGATCCTTGTAATATGTGCGCTCCTTGCAGTTGCCGCATTAGTGAGATTCCTCACAGTGCATCCCGGAGCGCAATGACTGTTTGAGACTGTTATTACACAGGAGACAGTCTTACAAACAGGAAACGCAGGTGTACCATTTACTGGGTTTAAATTTCAGAGTCCTGCTGTTATTGTTGTTCACTTCTGCTTAGGGTGCACTGATTTCCTGTTTGGGGATTTTGTTTGTTTGGGTTTTTTATTTTCATCTATCACAGCCATAGACTTTGGAATTATCTGTCTGTCCATGTTAGGATTTCCCGCTGGTTGCCTGTTTTTTTAAAACACACGTTGAAACTAATTTAAACTACTTGGCTTTTAACCCAGAATGATAGTGCTGTGTTCTTACTTTGTCTTCATCACTGTTTTTATTGTTTTATTGCTGTGCCATGCTTTGCTGCTTCATACAGCACTTCATGAAACTCTGTTTTTTAGGTTAGATTAAAATATAATTGGATTGGATGTTTAATTATTTCACATTTCTGGTAGTGATGAACCCACATCAACTAATAACAGTTCGCATGACATCTACAAAAAAAATTCAGCTCCTTTCATCTCTTTATTTTGGACTCACATCTGCTTTTAAACCGCTCTCGCTTCTCTCATCAACCTGCTTTTCAGACGTGGTAGGTAGTGATTGTCACAGTTTAGTCGCCTGACAGCTGGTCTCGATAGCCATTGTGACACTTGGTGATATACAATGAAAATAAACAGATTCTGATGTTTTAAAGCCTGTTTCACCAGTTTGAACAGGTGACCCATATTCTGGGGGCTTGAGTCTCCTTTCTAGGTGCTTGGGTTTGAGTCTGCTTACTCACACTCCTTCTTCCCACTTCTGAGTCTATTGTGTGCACTTCTGTGTCCAATAAAGGACATGATGCCCACAAACAAATCTTAATACAACTACTTGCTGGTGAAGTGTGTTCACCAGCAAGTAGTTGGTGAACAGTGTGCACCAGCTACAACAGACAAATATGGGGAAGTTGGAGATAAAAGAAACAGCTAAACAAAGAAAATATCATGAGATCCTCAAAAAGACATAAGTTGAAATAAATGCAGATGTTTCTCAGCGTAAACTAAATGCTTTATGTTTGCCATGTTGTATTTATAAAATGTTTGTGTTTTGGTCAATCCTGTAAAGAATGGACCATGATTTTTATTTTCTTTTTTTAACAGGAGTGTTTGTTGGACATCTTAACAAATGAAACAAAAATAATACAAATAATTCTTATTCTCATTTTTATGCAATTCTTTCGTTTGTTTGTTTGTTTGTTTGTTTGTTTGTTTGTTTGTTTGTTTGTTTGTTTGTTTGTTTGTTTGTTTGTTTGTTTGTTTGTTTTTGGGGGGTGGGCACTGACAGGGTTAAAGTCTATTACATTGAATTTTTCTTTTTACTTTAATACATTAGCAGCTAATGTAACTTATAATCAATGAAGTCAGGATTCCATGGAGGCCGGTCAGGTTCTTCCTGTTCATGGCTGTGTTTTGTGCATGGGAGTATTGTGGTGCTGAAACAGGAAAAGACTTCCACGAAGTTTCTGCAAAGCTGGAAAGAAACTGTTGTGTAAATAGCCTTGAATGCAGTGACACTAAGAGTCTTTAAATGCTACTTGTGCATCTTTAAAAAAAACAAACCAAAAAAAACATGGGCTATACAAACTACCTGGAATGACTGAAAATAAATCAATGCGGGGAAAACAAATATATTCACACTTTTGTCTTTTGTTGGATTTTATTGATGCTGCAAATTAAAGTGTTACATAATGCAAATTTCTTTTTCCTTCCTTTTTTTCTTAGTACTACATAACTGGAGCTGTAAACAGATTCATCAGGCCACAGCCCGCTGACACTGTCAACAATGACCCAAACACAAATCAGGAATCTGCAGCTGAAATCAAGCACCCTCCCTCTGACTCAACAGAGGGTGACAGTAGCAGAGAAGGTGTCGAGGAGGAGCAGCTTGTCGCAACATCCTCTCTGCTGAGCTCGTCTCGCCCCGTTGTCAAATGGGAACTTTGCACCACAGAAATCGACTTAGGGGTTGATGAAGAAAACATGCAGTACAAAACCCAGCTGAGAAAAGTCGACGAGAGCAAAGAGGATGGTGAGGGCAAGAGAGAGGAACAGCGTGACAAGACAGGAAATGATCATTCAAATGATTCAAGAGCAAAAGAAGACGAACGACACACGATGGAGATCGAAAAAATGCCCACTTGTGCAGGACTTGCAGGGCCTGGAAATGATGAACATGAACATGCCGCTTCTGGACCACAAAATTTGTCCGAGGTTGCAACATGCCAAGAAACAACTGAGGAGGAAACTGATGCTGAGAATGCAACAGTGAGATTAGGGTTGCCCGGTGATCATCCAACAAAGGAGGAAAAAATAAAAGAAACCCAAGTAAAAGGAGAAAAGGATCAAACCCATGATAAAGAGAAGGAAGACCTTGAAGCAGAAGACATTTTGAGAAAAGAAGAAAATGATGATAAACTGCGCAGTGAAGATGAGCGAGAGTTAAAAGCAGAAAACACTGAGGTAAAAGCATGCATAGCTGCAGGTATAAGTCCAGATGATATGGATCACATGCAGAAAGGAAAGGGAGAGGTAAAGGAGCATGATGCAGTGTTATTGGATGATCATTCAGGAAGGGAGGAACTTGTTAAAGAAACCCAGCTGAAGGAAGAAAATGCTAAAGCAGATCATGAAAAGGAAGAAGATTCAGAAGCAGAAGCCACTGAAGTAAGAGAGGAATATAACAACATGCACTGTGATGATGACAATTTGGTAGCAGAAAACAACGCGTTCAAAGTATGCATGACAAAAAGTCCAAAAGAGGAGGATTACGTGCACGAAGGAGAAGGAGAAGTACAAAAGATTGATACGGTGACACCAGATCATCATCCAAGAGAGGACCAAATTATCAAAGACACCCAAATAAATGAAGAAGATGATACACTTCATCATGAAGAAGAGCGAGATTTAGAAGCAGACCCAGAGATAAACGTGTATCGAAGTATCAAAGATATAAGTCCAGAAGATCAGGCTCATACGTACGAAGGAGAGGCAGAGATACAGAAGAATGATGCAGTGACACTGGATGATCATCCAAAAGAGGATAAAATTACTGAAGAAACTCAATTAGAAGAAGATGATCAAATCCAGCATGAAGATGAACAAGATTTGGAAGCAGAAGACACTGAGATAAAAGTGTGCATTAGCACAAGTTTAAGCCTAAATGATTATGATAATGATCATCTGCAGGAAATGGAGTCTGAAGTACAGAAGAATGATGCAGTGACACTGGATGAACATCCAAGAGAGGATGAAACCAAAGAAACCCAGTTAGAGGAAGAAGATGATAAACTGCAGCATGAAGATGAACAACATTTGGAAGCAGAAGACACTGAAGCACCAGAAGAAGATGAAAAAACAGACTATGAAGATGAACAGCAGTTAGGAGCAGAGGGCACTGAGGTCCAACTGTGCAAAACTACAGATATAAGTCCAGTACTGGATGATCACAAGCAGGAAACAGAGGCTGAGTTACAGAAAACTGATACAGCGACACTGGATGAACATCCAAGAGAGGATGAAAGCAAAGAAACTCAATTAGAGGAAGATCATCCAATAGAAGATGAAATGTTCAAAGAAGACAACTTAAAGGAAGAAGATGAAAAAACAGATCATGCAGATTTCGAAGCAGAAGACACTGAGATAAAAGTGTGCATTAGCACAAGTTTAAGTCCCGATGATGATGATAACCATCGCCTGCAGGAAATAGAGTCTGAAGTACAGAAGAATGATGCAGTGACACTGGATGATCATCCAAGAGAGGATAAAATTACTGAAGAAACTCAATTAGAAGAAGAAGATGATAAAATCCAGCATGAAGATGAACAAGATTTGGAAGCAGAAGACACTGAGATAAAAGTGTGCATTAGCACAAGTTTAAGCCTAAATGATTATGATAATGATCACCTGCAGGAAATAGAGTCTGAAGTACAGAAGAATGATGCAGTGACACTGGATGAACATCCAAGAGAGGATGAAATTACTAAAGAAACCCAGTTAGAGGAAGAAGATGATAAAATGCAGCATGAAGATGAACAAGATTTAGAAGTAGAAGACACTGAAGCACCAGAAGAAGATGATAAAACAGACTATGAAGGTGAACAGCAGTTAGGAGCAGAGGGCACTGAGGTCCAACTGTGCAAAACTACAGATATAAGTCCAGTACTGGATGATCACAAGCAGGAAACAGAGGCTGAGTTACAGAAAACTGATACAGCGACACTGGATGAACATCCAAGAGAGGATGAAAGCAAAGAAACTCAATTAGAGGAAGAAGATGATAAACTGCAGCATGAAGATGAACAAGATTTAGAGCCAGAAACTGTTGAGGCAGCAGACGACAATGATAAAACCGACACTGAGGTGAAAGTGTGCATAGGTACAGATGTAAGTCCAGAAGAGGAGGCAGAGGTACAGAAAAATGATGTAATGACACTGGAAGATCATCCAATGACAGATAACATTAAAGAAACTGAGTTAAAGGAAGATGATAAAATGCAGCATGAAGATGATCAAGGTTTAGAATCAGAAGCCTGTGATATTATGCTACAACTGGACTCTCAAAATGTAATCAAGTCAGAGGAGAAAACAAGTCAAGCTGAAAATCAGCTCTCAGCTTTTGGAGACCAGCCAGATACATCAGTGGTTATGCTCACTGTTATCACAAAATCTTATGCAATGACTCATAGCAGTGGAAACGATGAAGGTGAGAAAGAGAAGTGGGTTGAGACAGAGCGGCCTGCCGTCAACGAGACAGCAGAAGTGCCAGATCTGGACGAGAACATCGGAACAGAAGCAGAAGACACTGAAGGAGAAAATCTTTTAACTGAATATGATTTATCCGGTAAAGAAGCTGCACTGAAGACCGCTTCACAGCTGCACACAGCTGGATTCACAGATGAATACGAGGAGGATATGAGAGTCCCAGGAGTGCAGACCAAAACTAGGCAGGCCGGTGTGACAGTAACAGATATTTCAGAAGAGAGACTCATTGATCAAGACCAAGAAAAAGAGGAGAGCGTCTCCAGTGAATCCTACACCGGAGAATTTTACAACGAAATTATAGATTCAAGCACCTCAGTTACAGTAAAGCCCAAAGGCGAAACGACGCAGGAAACAGACGAAGAATTTAAAAACACTCTCCTGGGGATCAGTGAAGGCCAGTGTGCCGTGCTGCAGGAACTAAATACTCCAACGTGTGAGGAAATTCAAGAGGAAGTTTCCAAATATAACAATGAGCTTCGGAGGGCCGATGAAAATACAACACAAAGGTTCCTGGAAGCAGGAGATTGTGAGGAAATCCCGGCAACTCAATTACCAGAAGAGGTGGAGAGCGGAGATCAGGAGAGCCTTGAAAACAGTGACTGCAGGACTGGAGCTGACCATTTACTGCTGAAGGAGTCCATGGAAGACAAACAAGAAAGCAAAGAAGAGACTGAGACGAGCTTTGGTTTGTTTGTGGAGGAGTACGAAGGCACACCGGACCTTGAACTAGAGGCAGAGAGCAAGCTTGTTGAAGGAGTAATTCAAGAATCGGGACTTGACAAAGAAGAAGGAAAATTACTGACAAGTTCAATGAAGACAGAGGTGACTGGAACACATGTTGGTTTAGTGGACGAGACTGAAAGGAGATCAGAAGGGCTGCATGATGGTGGCAGAGGATCTACAGGAGGTGAAACAAGAGAAGCGGTTGCAGCAGCAGAAGTGGTTGGATTCGTCATTCAGGAGTCATTAGCAGCCATAAAGTTGGATCAAAGCATCAGCAGACCGTTAAGTTTACAAGAAGACACGAGTGAATATGGGTTTGTGAGACCCTTAGCTGAAACTGAGCCTATATCCGTTGATGATACCTCTGTTGAAATGCAAGATAAAGCCATTGAAAAGAAGGAAGGGGTTGTGAAGATGAAGAGGAGGAAGCAGAAAATGGAATCCAGACCTTAAATGAAATGGATTTACAGATAACTAAAGAAACTGCAGGTGAGCTAATCACAGAAAGAGGAGACAAAGAAATTCCTCTGAATGCAGAATTGGAAATATCTCAACACTCTGAGACTCAGGAGATAAACAATCAGTCGCCACACAGAGCACTTGAGATAAGTGAGACACAAATAATAGTAGCTGAAACAGCTGACGAGCCCAGACCAGAGGATTTGCCAGTGACGTCATCAGAGGAAAAAGGCAGTTCAGTCAGTGGACATCAAGACGTAATTGATGAAGAAATCCTTGACTTGTGGATTGAGGCGGTGATGTCAGAGGACACTGATGAGATTAGACAAGAAGAGCCCAAGCCAGGGCAGCTATTGGATGCCAAAACAGACACTTTAAATGAGGGTGAAATATCAACAGAGAATGAGAAAGTGTCACTAGCAGAGGCCATTTGTAGGGAATCTGAGGCAGTAAGTGACACAGAAATGTCTTCATCAACTGTGGAGTCTGGATTTTTGGACCAGTTTCTCAGTGAATCGTGTATTCAGAGTAGTGAGACTCAGCTGCTGAAATCAACGAGCACTGACTCACTCCAGGGGATCCATGAGCTGGTGGCTAGCGTGTCCACAGACATCTTTGGAGTTATCGGACAGCCTCAAACTCAGGACTTACTGACAGAGGAATCAGCCGAGACAGAGAAAGAATCGGTCGCTGATATAGAAGCTCAATCACATCTGAACCAGGAATCTCAAGAAAAAGCAGAAGAAAGAGCTGAAACATTAGAGACTGAAAGTGGATCACTGAAAGCGTATGAGGATGTTGAAGAAGCAGATGTAACAACAATGACAACACAGAGCTCTCCTTCGCATGACAAGAAGGTAGAAGCTGAGGAGGAGCATCTTGAGGTAACCGCGTCTGATTCTTCAGATGAACTCAAACCCGCTGAGTCTGAAGAATCTGAAAGTGACTCACAAAGTGAACCTGAGAAGGACACACTGAATAGACCACAGCCTGCACATTCATCCTTATTTCCTGTGCTAAACGAGGCCCAGGTAGCAGAAGAGCCAACAATCGAATATGAGAATAAGGTATTGTTTCTATATGGCATAAAAAAAATTTTGATTAAAATCAAACAATGTTCATAACAGACTTTTGGGGCATTACAGGTGGATGGCCCTGTGCTGGACTTTGCTGTGCAAAGGTCACGAATTGCTGTTAAGAACCCTCGTGTAAGGCCACCTAAAAATCCCCGCTCCCTGCTTCATATGCCCTCGGAGGAACCCACACCCACACCTACACCATCTTCACGTTTGCCGGTCAAACTCCCTGGAGGTGTGCCTTTAGGAGGCATAGGTATTGGAATAAAACTCCCTGGTAGGTCACTCATGATACATGAATCCCAATATCTTAGTCTTGATAGTCTATTAAGACTTTCTCTGGTCTTTATATCCTGTTATTTTCACAACTTCCAAATAATTTCACACGTTTGCTTTTCTTAGGGCTCGGTGCTGGATTTCCTGTTTTAAAAAAGACACAGCGGGCAGTGAGAGACGAAAATACCCAGGAAACAGTGTCACAGGTACTGCTAAGAGTGTTTAAATACCTGGTTTTTTTTCCCACTTAAGTTAAGATATATATATGTATCATTAAAATGACGGAATTACCACAGGAACCTGAAACAAAGCCAGAGGAGAAGAACGACGCTCCCCCACAGGAGGAGGAGGAGGCACCGAAGAAGCCTAAATGGATGCCACCAAAACATCCCGGGTAAGGATGGCAAAAGGGGGGGGGAAAAAACAGTCACCAGAAAAGACACGTCCTGTTTCTGACTTTTTAAAAATTTTGTTATTTATTTTTCTTCTGTGTCCACAGAGGATTTGGAAATCCCCTGATGGCAGAGCTAAAGACCAAACTGAAGAAAACACCAAAGGAGTGAGAAGCTCAATGGCTGTGTGCAAATACCTGAATGTAATAAACATATGGTTTTAATTTTGTGTACTGAGAAATTGTTCTTTATGTCCCCTACTTGTTCAATGTAATTTGTAAAATAAAGATAAACTTTCTTGCATGAAAACAGTGTTGATACAATTAATCTCAATTTAAAAAAACAAAACAAAACAAAGAAACACGAGTTCCCTTGTATGAGCAGTCACGAAAACATTTCTTCTCCAAACTGTTCAACCTGAGTTGCCACCCTAATAAACTCATTTCTAACCCCTACTCTATTTCTTTTCCTAAATGTCTATTCAAACATGGTAGAACAGTTTGAATTGACATACCTATCATGCACGGTGTAGAAAACTAAAGGGGAATCTAAAAGAAACAGATCAGAGAGCTGCGCACAATGTTATAATGAATACTGTTTTAAACCTCCTGGAGCAGTGGTATCAATCATAATGTCTGGAAGCCAAAATCGCCACGACAAAGACTTCAATGCAGCCCACTGCATTGACAACTTTTGTACAACTTTTCCTACTGATAAAGAGCTTCACCCGCAGTACACTAAAGTAATCAGGTGACACATTTAATCGTTTAAATGACAGGGAAGTTCCTTATACTATAAAAATGTATGTGTTTTTACAGTGTGTGCATGGTTAAAAAGGAATTAAATGACAGAAGCAGTTAAATGCTATTATATAATCATTCAGACATTTCTGGGTTTTTTGGTTTTTTTGGGGGGGGGGGGGGTGTTTTTTGTTATTTGTCTTTTTACAGTGGTGCCAGTGAGCTTTTTCTATAATTTTACATATGTATTTCTTCTCGTTTAAGCCCAAATAGTCATACTGGCACATTTCTTTCATTTGCTATAGGTGCATTTTTTTCTATGATGTAGAAAAACTGAGACATACTGTTGAAATTGCATTCCTTTTTTACATTAAGATGGATTACATGTGTAGTCAACCTTATTTACACACTGATTGAAAGGAGCGTTTCACTGGCCCAGCCCACTTAAGCACACTTTAAAGGTCACGAAATGTTTTCAAAACAACGTTAGATGGCACTGTAACGCTATCGTCTGTGCATGAACGCTAATTCACGATTAAACACAGAAGAAGAATCCTTGCGTTATGATTGGTGTAAACCATCCAATGAGCGTGAAGGAAACTGACATTTTGAACTAGACAGGCGCTTCGTTGGTTAACAAGATAAACGTTTCAGAGTTTATGCTGATATTTATTTTGTAGTATCCGTGTTTGTCTTATCAAACCAGAATCTCGTTGAGACTAAAACAGTTTCACATCTATAAACATCCGCTAAGAAGTTCGTGTTTACAGGTAAGCAGAGCTGGTTCCGTTCTTCTAACAAACGTTACAAGGTTTTAGCTATGCTCGTTCAAGATGATCTCGTGTTCCGAGCATTACATGAATGAAATAACTATTTATCGTAAATATGACATAGTAAACAATCGGAAAGCAACGTTTTCCAACCTAAAACCGCCGTAACTCTACGTTACAAACCAAATCTGTGTTCCTAAGCTATGATGTTGCTGTATGCGTTACCTAATCTCTAGTTTTACTGGTTTAAAATAAATTGACATGGGGTTTTTTTTTTTCCCTTTGGGGGGTGTAACATTAGAAACTCAGCACAAGTTGAGATTACATGGTCGTCCGTTACTGTCGGTGCTAAATTGCATTTTGATTTTGCTGTTTTAATATCTAGTTTGTATAAATAAAATAGCTGTAAAATAATTCAGCAGTGAGACATTTTCATTCAGTTGCCTACATAAGCCAATGAAGTCAAGCTCTGTTTTCTTATTTTAGGCACAGGGAGTCTGAGACAGCTGATAATATGTGTGGAGTCTGAGTATTGCCCTCTGTTTTAAATAAGAAGCCCTTCATTTATTCTGTGAGAGAAGAAGCATCACCATCCATGGCCAACAAACCAACTGGGCGAGGCTTATACATTCGGGAAAATCCAGATGCCGATGAGTGCTGTGAAAACATTCCACCCGGGGGCACTGTTAAAGCTGGGACTTCTAAACTCAAATGGCCCCATGAAGAAAACAAGCCTCTTTCTGACACCTGCACCTTTTCAACCCCTGCTCCAACAGGCAGCAAGCCAAAGTCACGGATTTCTTTCCAGTCTGCTCTGACACCAATTTTAAAATACTTAAATATCGGCAACAAATCTCCAGAAAGTTCAACACATGAAAATAATCGTCGTCAGACACTTTCTCTTTTCTCCTTTGGTGCAGCCACAGCAGATTGTCAAAAATCAACAAAAGGTTCTGTCCAACAGTTAAACTCAGATCCCCCTAGTAGCTATTCTGGGCAATTATTCAGTGATATGGATGGTCCTGTGTCCTTCCTAGGTGACGAATGCTTGCCAGAAGTGACCCTATTTGATTCTATGTGTGATTCTACCATACAGCTTACTAGAAATGACTCCCCTGCTCCTGACAGCGCACCTGCAACTTCTGCAAGCACAAGCCCTAAAATAAATATTCCTGAAATTCATCCTCCTGATCTTTCACAACATATGGCAACAACAGAGATTACAGACCCAGATGTCAAAATGATTGATGCCTCTCAGAACAAGCATGCTCCGGTCCCCTGGCTGATACTTGACAAATTCTTGCCAGAAATTACTCTCCTTGATGTTACACGTGATTCACCATTATCATCAGGAGAACAGACCACCTCCATGGATGTGACTCAGGCTCTTCCTCCGCTTGATTTGAAACGCGACAGGTCTTTTAATGGAATGGAAAGTGGAAAAATCGCGGCACAGCCTAGCAGTTCAGATGTCATCTCGGGCGAAAAATTGCTAAGTACAAGTGTACAATCCGACAAGTGTGTGGGGGAAAGCACAGCAAAAACCTCTTTGGATATTACTATGGGAAGTGTTTTGGAAAATAGCAAGTCTTCATCAGAGCCCAGTGAATGTAATATAGAGACGAGTCAAGCATCGGCAGGGGATACACTTGGGAAAAATCCTGCTAATGTTACTCGAGAAATAATATCTTCTAGTGACATACCTGCAGACTCTAATGTGGAGTGCAGTGCTAATCAAAAAGTTACCTCAGAGATCCGGGAAGAGCCTGTGGAGTTTTCTGATAAACCTGAAGCTATCATTAAAGACCTGATTGCCAGCCATGAAGCAAAGTCAGCCAACGAGCCCAGTGGACAAAATATGAAGATGAGCTCAACATCACCTGATGATACATTCAGCAGTCAACCAGCTAATGTTACACATGACACAACCTCGTCCAATGACACGTCAGCTCAGAGTGTAAGGTCTACATCGAATATGGAGTGTAGTAGTAGTAGTCAAAAGGACGCTCCCTCAGAACTTGTGGAATCTTGTCACAAAGTAAACGATGAGTTGAAAAACTATGCGATACAGCCAAACCCAAAAGCATCAAACTCCGGGAATGGAACATTTAATGTCGTGCAGGCCGCTGATCTGAGCGTGTCTAATGATTTAAATACTACTGCTTCAGTTTCCCACTTTCAGAATAAGACACTTGATCTTCCTCCATTTAATGTAAGCTGCACCAAAGATGGGACTTCAGGTCAGGCAGGTTTTGGCACCACTGAAACATCCCCCATCACAAATCAAAATTGCTCATCTTTAAAGGAATGTGCTCCATTTGCTGTGCAGAACGCCACCTTTGAAAAGCATTCTCTGCATAAAAGCAGTGGCAGCACAGTATTAGGGGAAGACCTCAAGAACAACACCTTTGATTCTCAACCACCTTCCAAGAAGAGCGACACAATAACTTTGTTGGAAACGGTCCAGAGTGAAAGTAGCCAAATTTCTTCAAAGCCTAATAGCACAAAAACTCTGACAGAAATGAGCTCATGTGACGGTCACCAAAGTGCTTCCAAGCCAAATGGAACAATAACTTTATCAGAGGTGAACCCGAGTGACGATCACCACAATACCTCCAGGCCCAATGGCACCATAACTTTGTCAGAAACAAGCTCATGCAACATCCGCCCGGGGTCTTCAGACAAGCCCTCCACACCTGAAGTTAGTAATCTAACCACCAGCCCTAAAGACAACAATATTGACATTGCCCCTGATCTATCAAAGCATAATGTTACGACAGATGCTAAGGACCATAGTGGCAAGGAGGTTGAAACCCATGATGACGCTTCTGGCAGTGGTAGCTGTGAGACTAAAGATCTTTCAGGTCTGCCTGTGGTGGGCGGGCTCTCCGATTCTTTAAACCGTCAAAGCTTTGGTACAGTGAACCTCAAAGCCAAGTGTTTCAATTTGGATGACACCCTGGATTTAAAGGCAGACTGTTTGATTACTTCAACACCAATGACTAAATGTACAATGTTCAACTTGAACACTGAGCAAGTTGAGGGCTTACACCTAGCAGTACAGAAGAAGCTGTACACAGATGGTCCCAGGAAGCCAGCTGATCAGGTGCCATCAGACCCATCAAACCTTGTCTGTGACCGTAAAACAATCTTGAAACAGCCAGCTGCTAAATCCCTTTGCCCTCCCCCAAAAGCTGGAGCTCAGCTGATGAAATCAAAGTCACATTCCTCAATTCCAGCCAGGTTGAATACAGTGGCATCCAACTTACCTACGAAAGACAAAGAACCCAAGCTGAAGCTTCAAGAAACACTGCTGCCACTGCCCCTGATGCACCCCAGGGGTAGGACTTAAATGTTTGCAAAATGTTGATATTACCATCTGAGAAAATGAACACAGGTTGAACCTATTAGTTATTATTTGTTCCATTTTATTTTGTACTGATTAAAAGCTGTACATCCATGTACTTGACAGTCTGTCGTTAACGTCCTCTTTTCGTGTGTGTGTATTTAAGACCACAGGAGTAACATCCTGCTACAACCTGCGTGCTACAGCAACAGGTAGGAAGTGTATACCTTTGTTTGCATAGGTCCCAGTTTTGTTATTCCCATAATCATGTGTTTAATAACCTCAGTGTAACTATGTACTGTATCTGTGTGTTCGCACGGTGCGTCCGGGGCATCTCTGTCTTCCCCTTTGTACCAATACCAGGATCCAAGCTGCCCGCTTGTGGCTCACAAAGATCGCAGTTTAGTGGAATCTCATCAGGGATCCAGAGAGCTACTATGTGTCTTAGGCCACCTTTAACAAGAAGCAGTACAGCAATTTCTTCAAGTACCGACAAGCTCTGTGGACCTACAGGTACTCACACATTTGTCAAACTGTATCTGTACATTAGAAAGTTTCAATTTGCCCTCACTTCAGATACACAGTAAAGTTGCCTTTCTTCTGATACTCGAGGGGGGGGAAAATTGATAAAAATGCAGCTGATGCCAAACTTCTATGTGTTTTCTGGTTTAATATTGCCTTCTTGTTCTTGAGTGTAACTAGTGGTTTTACACCTCATTGTAAACTCTCTGTATTTCCATTTATAAATGGCTTCTCTTGACTGGAGGTCTTGACAATGATCCTCTACTTCCTCCAGCGTGTTGTGGACTTTGGTAGATGTTGTGAAGTTGTTTTGTTTTTAACCATGGAAATAATTCTGTGATCATCTGCTTTAGTTGTCTTCTGTGGTCTTTCAGGCTTTTTATAGAGAAAGAAATTACTGTAGAAATGTATCTGATTTTGTGAAAGATGTGTTCATTGATTTTTCTGTAACAGTTTCTCCTTTTTGTCTACATAGCAACTAACCCTGTGACCAAGACTTCACAAGCAAAGAAGCACCCTCTAACCAGAGCTGACAGTTTGCTAGTGTCAAAGAGGAAGAAAATGGGTAAATAAATAAGAAATCATGCTCTAGTATTGCAGCCTTTTAACAGCTTTGTTTGGTATTTTTGGTATTTGCATGAAGCTTGAAACCTAAGTGTAAGTGTACAGTCATGTAGATTTTTCTTTTTTCCACCCTTTGCAGATGCTTCTGATCCATGCAATAGTGTCGGAGCTCCAGTATCTGCCAGTGATGCTACAAACAAAGCGACAATCCTCAAGCAGCCCAGTAAGAGAGCTTTGCCTGCCAAAGCTCAAGGAGAAGGTATGTTGGAAATTTACTGGAATTTCTGCACTTGAAACTTGTGACATGGTTTGAACTTTATCTAAGTCACAGGTATAGAACAGTACTTCACTGTGTTTTCTAAAGATAAACTAATCAGTGCAGATTTCCTGATATGCCAAAGGGTTTGTTGGCTTTTTCCACTAACTGTTGGGCAGTTGGCCAAAGTTTGATGTGATTTATGCTGCTGAACAGCTTCACGAGCGCAGTAACCTGTAGTGAACTCCTGTGGTGCTTTCATGCTTTAAGAGGCTGCAGTGCCAGCATGTATGAGTGAACCCTCAAAGCGTGTAATGCTCCCAACAGAGCCAGGCCCTGAAACAGCCTGGAATCAGCAATAAGCACCACTACCTAAAACCCAAATCCACAGTAAGTTGAGAGTGCTGAGGAGACAGTCTCAGCTGTGTAATTTCTAGTGGACTGTTGGTACTCAGAACCAATTTGGTTGTTTTGTGTTTATTAAAATCACGTGTTCATGTGTCTGAAGGTTACTTTTACTCTGTGTTGTTATTATTATGTGTTAATTGGATTTTAATTTCATGTCATACAATTGTGAACATTAAACGACAACAACAACTAACACAAGATTGTTAAGTCCTATGTATTCATACAATGTCCCAGTATATCAATTGCTATTTAAGACAATGGTGAAAATAATTAGCATAGACTGTAAATTGTGGGCGTTACAATTTCCCATTTGTCCTCTTTAATTAATGATGCAAACTGTTTTTCAGTTGCGCAAAATGTGCTGAGCTTGAAGAACAACTTAACTGATATCAGAAGAAAACACAAGGCTGAAAGAAGGTATCAGATGGCCTGTTACTGTGGTTATATGGGTCTAAATTGTAGAATTATTAAGAAGTCAGGAGACATTACAACTTGAAGAATTTGGACTTTACTCAATCAATATATCATATACTCAGTATTATCAAGTGATCCTCTTTTTTTTTTCCTTTTTGGTTATGTTATTTATGTTACACAAGCATCTTTTATGTAGGAACATAATTAAGTTTTCCTCTTTTTCTCTTCTAGAGTTGCTGAAATACACTAAACAGATGTCCAGTGAAATCCGGTGTTAATACTTTAAGCATATCTGCTGTTTTTAAATGTTAATAATTACGTAAAATAATTTACTCACTAAAGTAGAAATGTTTTTGTTTTTTTTCTATTTTGCAGTGAGGATAGATTTTGTCTGTTTGTGTGTTTAACATTACACTGTTTATTTTCACTCTAATAAATTTAATATATGTGTTGGTCTTTCATTTGGTTGGTCTAACACTTTGGAGAGTGCTCTGCTGGGAGGACACATTTGAACACCTTTTTTTCAGTATTTGGAAATTTCAGTCTTTGCGATTTAGAATTACTGTACTCAATACTGATACTCATTGTCAAGCTGCCGGGTATAAATAAACATCAGCATATTCAACACGCATAGCTACTGGCATTCCACCACTGAATTAAATATTGTATAATAGATTAATATTCTATTGTTAAAAATATTGATTTCCAGTGAAACCCTGTGACTTTGGATATCTTTATCTCAGGTTATTCAACACACTGGTATATCTCCATAAATACAAGAATACGGTGTAGGCAAATATTTACCATGCACTGCGATTTAAAAGCAAGGTTTTCCAATACAATATTATATAAAGGTAGAGTTGTTAAACTTACCCGTATGTATGCTTTCACTGTTACTTTGTCCAGTTTTGCTGGTGTAATCCCTTTCCTCGAAGCAGTGGTGAACCAGCTAAGGAAAAAGTGGAGACCAACGATTCGTTTTTTTTCTCCAACTCCCGTGAGAACAACAGAATGGATTTTAAATGCACTGTTTCAGCCGCTGAGTGGCGCTGTGAGCGGAGAGCCTTCAGTGCTGCGGACTATTCACGTTGTTGATCATCAGAGTACTTCCTGTTCTGACGAAATTGCCCGGTAAGAGTGCTGCACGCATTTCTTTTCCTTCGACAAGAAAACTGGATTTTTAAACAGCTCAAACTAAACACCGCGGAATAACTTTTTACTAGGTTGTAGGTGAGTTTAATTCACTAAGTGTGCGACTTTTTGTATTTTCGTTTATTTGCCGTGAAAGCATTCTGGGTAAGGCGTGTAAGCCCAACTGCAACTTGGTTTTCATTCTTTTGTCGACTGTAATCCAGTCTGTTTGCTAGCATTAGGCTAATATTCTGCGGTATAGACGTATTTAAGTGTCAGCACTATAAGGCCGGTGGACGATTTTCTGGAAAATAATTAAAACATTTAAGTTTAAAAACTGCCTATATTTAAACTGCTATAAATAACTTGTTGGTCTATAATATGTGAAACATATATCAAATGTATCACTCATGAATGATATCAAGTCATCTTGAGCGACAAACAACATTCCTCTAGCAATCAGTTTTTGGCAATGACTTTTATAAATCCTGTATTTTCGCAGTTAAAAAAAATTCTTGTTGACTTTAAAAATGCCTCTTTTAAGAGTAATCTGGCCAAGAGGACAGCTGAAATTGCAACAAAGGCACAATAGTTCTGTAAATATTTTAAGTGGACAAAAGGGACTTGATTGATTATAATGTAAGTACAATAACACAGTTATAATGATAGTTGAGAAACGGGTATTTTTTTAAATTTTATATATAACTCCTTTGTAATACCTGTTCACCAAAGTCTTTTTAGCAACATACCTAACTATATTACACATAAAAAATACACGGAAACATTGGAAATCAGTTTTTGGCAGGCAATCAGTTTTTGGCACACACCAGTGTTCAGATTGACTGGTGATGGTCAAACAGATGTGTGGCAAACTTGCTTTTCAGGAGCCGCTACCGATAAACCAGCAAAAGCATCAAACTCTGGGAATGGGACATTTAATTCATGCAGGCCGCTAATCTGAGCATGTCTAATGATTTAATACTACTGCTTCAGTTTCCTACTCTCAGAATAAGACACCTGATCTTCCTCCATTTATTGTAAGCTGCACCAAAGCTGGGACAGGAACTTCAGGTCCGGCAGCTTTTGGCACCACTGAAACATCCCACATCAAAATTGCTCATCTGTAAGGCAATGTGCTCCATTTGCATCCTCTGCATAAAAGCAGTGCAGCACTGTATTAGGGAAGACCTCAAGAGCAACACTTTTGATTCTCAACCACCTTCCAAGAAGAGTGACACAATAACTTGTTGGAAACGGTCCATAGTGAAAGTAGCCAAATTGCTTCAAAGCCTAATAGCACAATAACTGACAGAAATGAGCTCATGTGACGGTCACCAAAGTGTTTCCAAGCCAAATGGAACAATAACTTTATCAGAGGTGAACCCAAATGACAGTCACCACAATACCTCCAGGCCCAATGAACCATAACTTTGTCAGAAACAAGCTCGTGCAACATCCGCCCGAGGTCTTCAGACAAGCCCTCCACACCTGAAGTCAGTAATCTAACCACCAGCCCTAAAGACAACAATTCTGAAGTCGTCCCGATCTATCAAAGCATAATGTGACACAGATGCCAAGGACCATAGTGGCAAGGAGGTTGAAACCCATGATGACGCTTCTGGCAGCGGCAGCTGTGAGACTAAAGATCTTTCAGGTCTGCCTGTGGTGGGCGGGCTCTCTGATTCTTTAAACCGTCAAAGCTTTGGTACAGTGAACCTCAAAGCCAAGTGTTTCAATTTGGATGACACCCTGGATTTAAAGGCAGACTGTTTGATTACTTCAACACCAATGACTAAATGTACAATGTTCAACTTGAACACTAAGAAAGTTGAGGGCTTACACCTAGGAGCACAGAAGAAGCTGAGGATGCAGAACACATTGAGCGATCCACAGCTAAGGAAAAGCCTTATCTGCAGTAACTTCATTCAGCAACCTGACTTTAGATAAATTACTCTGACAACATAGTTTTTCTTTCAGATTGAATGCACCTGCTGTGGAGAGTGGTACCGCACAGTGTGTGTTGACTTTTCTTGTGCAGAGAGCGATTACAGATGTAATCTGGTTGTAGGCTATGGCAGTTGGCCACAGGTGGCAGCAGTGAGCTGTTCTCCATTTGAGACTGCTCCAGCTACTATGTGATACGTCAGTGGATCCAGCTACAAAATAGAGGTCATATGTAATTTGGGAAATTAACTTATGAATATTCTTAACTTAGAAAGTTGACGTTTTAAAATGAACTCACCTAAAAACTCCAAAACACATGACACACCAACTGGCACACAAGAGTTACTCACTTTCACAAGGTCTACTTAATCACACTGACTCTATTGCTTACTAATTATTGTCTAACTGCTGTACATTTACTGTATGTCCTATCTCCTCACAAATGTTTGTTAAATTAACCAAACAGTTCTCGCTAGCTGTGCTAATCAGTTATCCCATCATTTCAAATGTTTTTCAGAGAAAACACTATGAGACTATGATAAGAGGATGTGATGTTGCAACACCAGTCAAGGATTAATGTGTAATGTTTGCTGGAGACATATTTCTTTGTTATGGAAAAAAATATTAAAATCATTATGAACAATAGGAGTGCTAATTTAATTTTGGTACCATTTATTTAGTTTAAAGGTTTATTTGCGAGATCCACAAGAACAAAAAACAGTGAAAGTTACAATTATATGTGCATAAAATTATAATTCAAACATGGTAATAGAGCCAGGTGCAGATGTGTCAGAAGTTGATCTGACTGTGATGCTAGTTGGCTCGACTCCATTTGAGTGCACACAAAGCAACTGCATGCTTTATTTGTGAGGCGAAAATGCTGAAATTGGAATAATAAATGTACGAGGGAACAACAATGAAGACATGATTCCCCAGATCATTGATTCTTGTCCTGTAAACAACATCTGCGTGGTGACGTTTATTTGCCGTTTTCGCAGTCGCCTCGTGAGAATATCGCCTCGTGCATGAGAATATCACCAGGTAACTCAAGACAGTTAATGTTTTATTGTTGAAGAGTAAGAAGACTTTGTGTTTAAGGTAA